CGGACTTCCTGCCCGACCTCCTCCAGCAGCGGCCGCGGAGGACCACCCCGCTCCCTACCCTCCCACTTCACCCAGCTCTAGGTAAGGACTCCCCGGTGGGGGTGGATCCGGCCAGGGTTCTTGCGGAGCAGTGTCCCCACGAGGACCGGAGGGACCGCGGGTGGGTGGCCGAGCAGCATTCTCCGCCTGCAGAGAAGGAGGAAGGCGAACGCAGCGTGGCGGAGTCCGGTGCGCTGGAGGCACCTGCTGGACCTAGTGCTGTGAGTGGCTTTGCCCCGCTCGCCGCAGCCAGTTCCTGTCACGGATGCAAGTGGCCCTGTGGACTGCAGGCGCTCGTGTTCTCCACATCAAATAATTTAACAAGCGGACGTGTCAGGAAGTGGCCTCAGCTACTGGGACTCACGCGAAATGAAGAGTGAGACAGATGGCAAGAAGCTGTGCATCCGCCTGCAAGTTTGATGGGCTCCCGTCCTTCGTCCATCCACCTATCCTTCCATTAACCCTGATCCTAGTTCGGTGCTGAGGAAGTACAGACATTATTTTAACTGACACCCGTATTTAGGGCTATTGAAAAAAAATCTGAGGGCGTCCCATTAGGGTAAGGAGTGGGTAGTGTCACTGGGGCTGATCAGAAATGTGCATGCAGAACTTTTACCAATCCACATCCCCTGTAGGAGTGTGTGAGGGGTGTGTTTGTGTGTGTGTGTGTGTGTGTGTGTGTGTGTGTGAGAGAGAGAGAGAGAGAGAGAGAGAAACAGACAACAGGACTGAATTGAGAATAGGAACTATTTACTATTTACTACTAAGATCCTTTTGGTAATGTATAGATTACCTATATCCTTTCTTCATCTTCATACTGTAAGTAGTCTATCATCCAAAATTATCTTATGGATTAATGATTGATTATTTTCATTTCACAAAAGATGATCGATTCGTCTGTAGTTTGGCTGTTGGAAGATGTGCAGTGTATTTCAATCTCAACTTGTTTTTAGTTCATTACTTTATAACTTTGTAGAACTCATTCCTGTAACAACCAAGGCAGCTTATCGACTTTCAGTGACCTTAGAAACTTATAAGTTAAACAAACAAAGAAACTGAAATACATAGGAGGAAGGTGATAGACAAATGAGTGATGTCTACAAGGTTTACTTGCTTGCTTTATTTAAACCCATGGAAGATTGCACAAGCTGTATTTTTAAAAAGGGTCTAGGATGTGTAAATCTATTCTTAATTAAGATACATTTCTTTTCAGCATCTAAAAATTAATTAAAATTTTAAATGTCATTAACCATCAATGCAGCAGAACATTAGTAGAACAGCTGATAATGTGTTCAGAATCACAAGAGATAACATAGCATTCATAGATAGGAAGAGTGAGTTGCAAGTATGCAACAGTGTGGTTTCAAATGATCTCAGCCCTCACTTTAATCTTGGGACCCTTTTATGCCATGAAGGGTAGTGTGTTTCTTTTAGCCTAGCTGCAGTACAACAGGTCACTTGCATGGAATAAGTTAGGAGTGACTGTAAGATGAGGTTTCTCAAATGTAACCTAATAACAAGACTTCAGTGAGAAGTCAAGTAGAACTCTTGGTGAGATTTCCATGTGAAAAAAATTAAACAAGAATATGATGTGGAAGGACCTTTGAAACACCTTTGAAATTCAGTTTGTTCTGAGATACACATTTACTGTTTCCAGCAAAAGGTGTAGGGATTGTCTTTTTAAATGTTGTTCTATAAGGATTATTACACATTTGTTCATGCCCCAGCAGGTGGCAGCTAACTAGAATAAGATTCATTTTCACCAGGAGAATAGGAAACTAAAATTGCTTCTCAAGTAATAGTGCCCAAGAATAAGAGGTCATTAGTGTCAACAAATAGAAAAATACAATGAAAGATGAAGCTAGTGGCCTTTTGTTGTTGTTGTAACAAGCTTTGTGGGGACACACATGTGTGTTTTCTTTTATTATTTATCATAGGCTTGGTATTTCTTCATGTCAGTTTTCTGCAGTATTTTTTCAAGGCTTAACCTAGACATAGCTGCTCTCTGCATGTGTGCATGTATGTGTGTGTTTGTAATTTTTCATCTCTGCTTTGACCTTGGAACCTACAGAGCTTTAGCTCCTATAAATTAAGGTTGCCATGTGGTTAAAATGACAATAAAGCAAATGAGACCATAGAATAAAGTACACAAATCTCACTATTACTACATATAAATGACCAACTGACATCTAATTGCAGTGTTTTTCTTTTTTATTAAGAAAGAAGCAAATTATAGAACTTACACAATTTTAAAAGAGTTAAATATAGTCAGTGAAATACTGTATAATGGCTACTAATCCTTCAGATACCCTCAGAACTATGATGATGGTGTCATTATTGGAGAGAAATGTGTAATAACTTCAAATAGCCATATGGTGAGGTATCTTCTGTACCATCAAATCTTTTTCTTGTATTGGGGAGGTAAATTTAGTGAGCTTTGTTGTTGTTGTTTGGGAAATGAGTGAAGTTTAATGAGAAAGAGTGGCAATTAATCTGATTACCCGCACAACAGATGGAAATCTGGAGGTGGAGAGTTGAAAGTGGTAACTAATTGTACATTTTAAAAATGTCTTTAGCCACTGAATATTGACAACATGTTTCAGTAACCTGAATTCTTTGTAATCTTTCAGTCAATTTTTTTGTACTGAGAAATGAGTAGTTTATTGCTCGCAAGGGATCTCACAGTGAATGTAAAGTGGCTTTTGTAGTACTGTGCTCTGGAAAGGGATCATCACTTATTAGAACACTCTAGGTATGTTAAGTAATTCTAGCCATTACACTGAAAAATACACTCAACACAGTTTACAAAATTGTCCTCTTGACAATGTGTCTGTAATAACTCAAATTACTTGACTCTGTGTAATAGAAATGACAATGTACATTATCAGTTGAAATGGCATATTACCCATTTGTACTACTTTCAATGACAACTCTAGAATAAATAGATGCCTGGATTGCTGTCCGCGGTCCTGAAGAAAGGTTGTCTCTAGTCTTGCAGAAGTTCAATTGGACAGGTGGAGTTGATGTCTGCTCTGTTAAAGCTTTTCAACTTAGTTGATGGATGTAAATGAACCTAATTTAGCATATGTGCAAAACTGGTTCTTTTGGGACCAATTAGTAGTGAGAAAATTTATGCTAGACTTTTTTTTCCCTGTGTATTTTATATGAACTTTGTGAATCTGGAAGCTTCATTTTTACTTTTACAACTAGACAGCCAACAAATGACCTCACACAAAATAAATAGTTGAGAATGCTACCTTTAAGTAGACACATTAAATCTGTTATGAGAAATGCCATTATGTTAATATAATACATAAACAAGGAGATACAGTACATTTTGTTTTCTCAGGTTCCACTAAATGCCAGCTACACTGAAAAAAATCACAGTGTTTTGATTAGCTACAACAGAACATGCTATTTTCAGGTATTACATATCAATTATATTTGCAGATGAAAAATTTAAGAATATTTATTTTTGTCCTGGCAGTCATTATTATCTCTGCTAGGAGCAAAATGAAAATGAACAAATAGAAATAAAATAAGTGAGACAGCAAATACAAGACAGAACATGTTGGGCTCTACATGTTTTGCAAGAGATATTTTAAACATGGACTGAAGGAGTCGCTAGATACCCTTATTTTCAGCACTTGATGTTCTTTTTAAAGTGCTCAAATAGTTGAATTATTTGTTTGAATTGCCTGGTAGACTGCAGAACTAGCCATTCATGATACTTATTTTTGACACTGCAGTTCTGCCTCCATCTTAAAAACATCAATGTTACCTGATGCCTTTGCAAAATGTAGAGTTTTTCAAATCAGCTTTTTATATTATCTTAAGAAAATATAGATTAAAAAATCACTATGATGGTATTACAGTGTTCCTTTGCTATTTGGAAGAAGCATAACAAGTACTGATACCACTCTCTATTTTAAAATTGGATGGTCTTCAAATAGAATATAGTCTTATAATTTTTCATGTAGTTTAACCCATGCTCTGTTAGTGGGTTATGAAAAAATTAATTGTAAAATACAAGCCCAATAGGATGCATTTTATGCTGAATAATCAGTTAAAAATGTTAACAGTGACATATTTGTTGCTGTGCATGTTATTGTGCTTACTAATATAAGTAATGCTACTAGTGGGGGTTTTTGAAAAATTTAACCTACGTTACGTATTTCAACGCTATAAATGTATTTTATGTTAAAAATAAAAATATAATTCTAACTTTTTCCCCTTGAATACATTGCGACTTATGAAAGTCCAGAGAAGGGACTCTAGACTCATCTGAAAACCAGCAAATGATGACATTTTTAGACAAAGCTATGATACTTAATGTTGCTCAAGCTATGAACCCTTATTTCATCTTTTAAAGAAAAACTTAAAAAAAAGTCATTTGGGCATAAAAGCATTTAGAGTTTGCTGCACCAATTCAAACACCATTGCCTTTTATCTTTACATATGCTGAAATGGGTATGGAACTATTCCTTCATTTTAATTAAATATTTCTTTCCTAAAAGTCCACTTGTACAATTTCTCTTTACTCCTGGGTAGTAATCAAGGAACGCTCTGATCAAGTTTTTAAAGAATAAGTTCACCTCTCCGGTTGCATTCCATTCTGTATTCATGGATTCTTAGTCAAAAAATATTAAAAAGTATAGGTAATACTCTTTCAAGTGAATGGCAAGTTAGATTTACAGTAAATTCTTCTTAGAGCATCTCCTCTTTTACAATTCCTAGGCAAAGTGACTTTGACATAGCTAGTCATTTATTAAAATTCATCAATTGATTGTAAGAAGCCTGCTTGCATACACCACTCTCTTAGCAGAGTCTCATTGAAAATCAAAGCAATTTTCACCACTTAAATAAATCCGACTTCTTTTTTTGCAACTCAAAGCAGGCTATCAGATTGGTTGCATAATAGATATTGGGAAGCTCACTGGCAGGGCGCCTTAAAGAGGCGAGCAGCTATCTCAATTTTTCTCACTTAATCTTGGCTTCACGTCAGAAGCTGTGCAGCAGTGCAGTAGAATAGGGCCTGGCAAAACCTTTGCCAGCCAAGCTTCCTTTTGTGCTGGGACTGTGGCTCGCTATCGACACCTCGTCAGTCTCCAAGCCTGGATTTCCTACTGATTTTCCTCCTCTGTTGCTCCCCCAGGCTCGCGCGGCCGGACATTGTGGGTGTGCGTGCTGGATTTCTCCCGGATGCTCTCCGACTAACATGGATGTGCTACCATCCCTTGCAGTGGAAGGTTGCTCCTTGGCGCAGTGAGTGAAGAACATGCAGCGATTGCTAATGGGTTTGGGAAGCGGAGACTCCTTCCTCTGTCTGTGACCATGCCGTGATCGCGTCTGCGGCCACTACTCGACGCATCCTCATTCTTGCCCAAACCAGGAGCCTAACGCTAAATCGGAGAAGTGGGTGCCGCGCGTGTAGGCACAGAAACACCATGAAGATTATTTCCCCGATTCTAAGTAATCTAGTCTTCAGGCGCTCCATTAAACTCCTGCTGTGTTTACTGTGGATTGGATATTCTCAAGGAACCACACATGTATTAAGATTTGGTAAGATTTCTCCTTCTCTCCCCATTTCCTGGGTACCGGACTCCCGAGGCAGCCGGATGTAAACAGGCAGGTTCGCTCTGCCTTGGCGGTGGGCTCGGCGCATTCCGACCTGTTCGAGGCTCTGTTCCCTTCTGGGCTTTAAAGAACACCCTCTGCGCTTTCATTTATTTTCTTCTTTCTTTCTTTTAGTTGCATTTTATTATTTTTGCCGCGGCAGGATGGAGGGAGTGCCGGTGTGTGGTAGTGGTCAATGCAATATCTCGCCACCTTAGTAGCCAGCCACAGAGATGGTGATGACGCCGGGGGCATGGCCAGAGCCACAACCGCCGGGCTCCCCCAGAGCCTTCCGGGCTTGGAGGGCTGTGCGGTTGGAGCGAAAGTGAGCGCTAAGGCTGCAAGCCTCTTAGTTTGTGCAGCTGATGAGTTAATATCTGCTAACTCTTGGGCGAGTTGCCTCTGTCCGCTTCCGCCGGACCAAGGCAAGTTCTCATGTGCAAAGGAGAGGCGCTAGCCCCTTTGATTTCTTTTGTCGGAGAGACTTATTGATTAATTTAATCCCCCTTTCCATCCTTGGTGTCCTTACTGGTATGCAACGCTTTAAAAAATTGTAAACTTCAAGGCTTTACTTAATAAGGGGAAGATGCTGGTCACTGAGAGCGAAATAGCGTCACGATAAGACAGGATACTTCTTTGTTTTTTCTTTTAACTTGCTAAGCCACCCCCCTGTCCCCCTTCGCTGCTTTTTCTCTGAGAATCTTGTACTAATAAATGATGAAAGGCAGTAACTGAGGGCTGAGGGGGGAGGGGAGTTGAGTGTATGGTGTTTAGTCTGTGTCTATTTCACATGATGAAAGACCCGAGATAGTTCAATTTCAGGAGAATTTATTGATTCCATAAGACCCCGGGTTTCTTTGGAGCTTGAAGGAAAATCTAAACGTGGGAATCCTGTAGAATCCATGGTCGGGAGGTTTACTTGGGGGAAATGAAGCATAGGAAACACTTAGCCTGCTCTCTGTGGCCAATGGAATTTTAGTAACAGCAGAACTAGTCAGGGAAAGTTCCCTAAAGTAGGTAGGAGTGGAGGAGGAGAAACCCAACAGAGTAAATCTCGCACTATAGGCAGCTCTTTGGTCAGTTCAAGTGGATTTAGAGCAAAGAGGGCAGGAAACCACATAACCCTGAGCACATGTCTCTGAGATAAAAGCAGATGCATTAAGTTATTCAGTCCAATTTAAAGCAGAGAATGAGTGCTTGCATCTTCTGTTGACACCAACAGCATCTTCTTTCTGTATCTCCATGTGTTTCTTCTCCAATGATAAAATTCACTGTCTTTCCCAGGCTCTGGGAAACAAGACAGAGATGATTTCACATATATTAAATGGGAACCTCAGCTGTCCTCCCCCCCCCCGCCCCAACATTCACACAATAAGACACCAGGAACCAAAAACACTGGTAATAACAAGAGACAATAGGTTATAGCTAGATTCCTGCTGGAGTATTTCCCTGCTTTCTTCATGTCTTTAGATTGTACTTCAGCATGTTGCTGTTAGCAACGAGCATCCACAGGAATGCTTGTTTCTTTGGACAGGATTAAAACAGATCCACATATTACTGGAAAGTGTGTGTGTTTTCAGCAGTTCAATTTCAAGCATGGAGAGTGCTACAATATGCTACTTGGGGCCATATTTTGGGTATTACACATTTATGTGAGGTATTTTCTGATGGGTATTTGTGAATGAGTGTGCATTGGTAAGTGTGTTTGTGGAGTAGGTGGAAAAAAATGAAGATTTTGGGCTGGAAACTGCCACCAATACTCTAAAGATTTAATTATTGCTGCTCTGGTCTTGCAGCACTTTATTTGCTGAATCATTAGATTGTTACATTCGCTGATCGTTTCATATCTTCTTATGAAAAATCTTGGCAACTGTAGCGGAATGTAGCAGCTTTCCCAAAGAGCTGACACACGTACAAAAGAACCTTTTCCTAGACCAATTCCTACTTTTAAGATTGTCCTTAAAAGATAGGGAACAAGACAAGGACCACCATACCAGTCCCTTGATTCCATAAAACCAAGAGCCCAGTTTCTAGATAACTTCTTATTTTGTACATTAGCTTCAAACATCTTCCACGTGGAGATCCATTTTCTCTGATAGCTGACCGGAGTTGTGGGTAAGGACGGTGTAGAACTGTAATCACTGGAACATTTCCCTGTTGGGACTATTTTGATGCCATGGTGGGAGTTTTATTTTCATCTGGGGTTAACATGTTCTGAGTGGATTGGATGGTTGGGTGGTAGGCGCGTATAAGCCATTCTTGAGAATGTTTATTTTCAACTTGGACTCTGAAGTTGAACCACTGCCTCATCCCTGGGCCCGTGCCTTGGAAGGGAAAAGGTTAGAGTCGCTAGTAGTGCAGCTGGCCTTTGGCGGCGGACAACCGAGTGCTGGTGAAACCCGCCGCCTCCCAGGAAAGGCTGCGTTGAGTGGCCTAGCATCCTCCATCAGGGGAGAGGCTGGAGCCGCCAGCCCCGGGCGCTTCCGCCGCGGCGCTATGGCAACCGCGAAGCCCTGCGGGGCTGCCATCCCAGCCCCCCTTCTCGACACATGGTAGAAATCCACCATCATGAGGTCCGTGCTGTCTTTCCTCGGGCTCCCAATTGAACTGAGACTCGACCCGTCCTCCTCTGTGGATCCAGGAGAAGCCCCCAGTTCAGGGTGCTGACCCAGGTCGCGTCCCTTCTTTTCCCCGCCCATCTTCAGCCAGCGCAACCTTTCTCCCTCACTTCCTTCGCTCTCCCCCTTTAGTTCTTCCTCTGCTTTCTCTCTCTCTCTTTCTCTCTCTCTGTCTCTCTCTCTCAATTGAGCTCAATTGAGCTCTTGCCAGGCCTCACGCCTCACACTTGGTCACAGTGACTCCCCTATAGGGTCCAAGAAAACTTTCCAGTCGCACCCAAGGGCGCCTCCGTCCCGCTCCAGGCATGTCCCCTTCCAGGCTGCGCATCCGGGTCTGCTCTTTCAGTAGCAGCTCGGCAAACGTCTTCCGAGGGCTGAACCCAGAACGCTGTCCCAAGCTTTAAGGCAGCCTAGGGTACTGGGGAACGAGACTTCGGGGTTAGCCAAGTGTCACCTCCTGGCCGGCAGAGGGATGGGCATTTCGTCTTGGGTACCTGCCATCGATACTGAGTTAGCACAACTTGGCTCCTCCCGGTGCCGACATATTTTCAAGGAGGTAAGGTGCATCGTAGAAAGTCAGTTTACCTCCCCAGGCCAAGTCAGACTTTTTCAGATAGGCTTTTCTGGGAGCTGAGTCGATGACTTCCCCAGGGAGGCCTTTCCGAGCCCTCGCACTCTAGGAGCGGCGCGTCCCGGAGCCCCGGCGCGATGTAAATGAGGCACCTTTGTTTTTCCGCAGCTGCGTAGCAGGCCAAGATGCTGCGGGAGAGGCCGAGGGCCAAATCCTTCCGTCCGCGGGGGTGTGGCCCTCATTCCAGTCTTCCAGACCAAGTGCAGCAGCTCGGCTTTAAACATTTCTTCTTTTGTTTCTTTAGCCCGTCCTTCTCTTCTGGCTTGCTGGTTTGCTCATTGCCCTGTCCCTGGGGAAGCGCAAGTGATCTGCGTGCCTCTCATTGTCAGTCTCTGGTCTTTGGCATATCTTTGGGGTCAGATTCATGGGGTCAGTTCTTTACTTGAATTGAAATTTAGGACGTCAGGAGCAAAGATGTCAACACAAACTTCTTCTCAAACTCTTGGAGCTTCTGCAAGATAGTCCTTTCCTAGGACCGCGAGGGTGTGATAGATCACCACATACCTTTTAGCGTTTCGAACTGTTTTGGTCAGCAAGGCGGTGGAGCAGCTTTATTAAAATCTTTCTGTGTTAAGTCTTCCCTCCTAGAAGGAGCTCCGGTCTCGATGGCACTGCACACTAGCCACCCCTACAACGCATGATGCGCAGTCACCTTCCTGTGCCCAAGCCCAAGGTGAAGGCACCCAGCCAGCTCAGTCAGGGGCGGCCTACAGATAAAACCCACCACATGAGAGGGAACCGGAAGGTTCTTAGGGAAACTCCCTTACATTTCTGGGCATCCCATGTTCTCCCAGATAGAATAATTGGTACCAAATGAACTGTACCATCGAGGAACGCGAATGAATTGACTGAGCTTGTAAGCGGCCACTCTCCACAAGTTCTTTGAAAAAGATTCTTCTTCCTTTGGGAGGTAAAGTGGGAGGGAGGGAGGAGTGGCCTTACATCTGGAAGCAAGAAATCTGACTCTTGGGAGGCGGGGATGGGGGAGTGATAGCGGCTACTGTCTGCAACAGATAAAACCAGAACACCTGCTCAGCTGAGCTCTGGAAAGCAAGAGAGGGAAATCTTTCCAAGAATCGCCAACACTATGGGCACACTTTTTAAAAATTACGTTTTTCTCATAAGTTCTCGCTTACTCTTAAAGCTTCAAAGAATAACTTGATGTGATCCATCAACGGAGGCACAATCATTTCAGAAACCGACTTTGAAAAATGATCTTTTCCTTTCTAGAAATAGCACTCCTTACACCCAGCACATGAAACCCAACACGTTTTCTAGCTTTGTGAGGCTGCCTTTCAACAGCGAACAAAGGTTTATATGTAGTGGACATTTTTACAGGCAAGTTTTTCTTTTTGGTTTAATGCAAGTGATCATTGTAGTGTGTTCATTCTGTGAATTCTCAAATGACACTGTTTCAACATTTACCCAGCACAGGAAAGTTAATGTGAATTACTTTCACACAAAGGAAGAAAATACCATGGACCACTAGGACGAACCATTGATTATCAGAGCCTGTTCATGTCTATTCATTGTAAAATAAAGTGTTGTCTGTGATATGACATAATCTTTTATGCCATTTGCTTATCATAATTTTTGATAAAGCAAATGCTTTGCCCTTTTGAGGGGTAGAAATTAAACATTCTCATGGAAAAACACTTCCTTCTGTTTTTAGGATTTTACTGTGTTACTATAGCCTT